TCATCCACAAACTGATGGGTAAACTGAGAGGCTGAATCAATGTCTAGAAGCATATTTGAGGTGTACAGTTCATGCTTGTCCTCACAAATGGGCTGATTGGTTGGCACAAGCCCAGCATTGGTACAATACATCTTTCCACTGTGCTCTTGGCAAATCCCCATATGAGGCACTGTTTGCCAGGCAACCAAATCAGTTTGGCTTGGTTGATATGAGGTACTGTGCCAGATGTTCAGATTTGGTTACAGAATAGAGCACACCTCAATGAGATACTCCACCAACAACTTCTTAGAGGTCAGCAACAAATGAAGGCACAAGCTGATAAACATTGATCTGAGTGGAAATTGAAGTGGGTGACATGATGTATCTTAAACTCCAACCCTATGTTCAGATGACAATGGCTCGACGATCCTGTCAGAAGTTGAGCTTTCGCTTCTTTGGTCCCTATAAGGCGTTAGCTCATGTTGGAGCAGTGGCATATCATCTAGAACTGCCAGAAGGGAGTTTGATCCACCTAGTCGTGCATGCATCCCTGTTGAAAAAAGCTCTGAAGCCTAACACACCAGAAAGCGCAGATCTTCCCCTTAACTGCTTTGATGATTCTACAGTTGTGCAGCCCGAAGCCATCCTTCGCCGACAGTTGATCAAGCGTGGCAAGGCAGTTGTACATTATGAGTGGTGCAATATGGACTGGTCTTCCTGCTACTCTGGCGACATGGGAGAACCTACGACAGCTGAAACAAGAAGCTATCAAACCAACTACCTATCTCCTCTTCCTCCTCTGCTTGCTCTGTTTCTTCCTCTTGCAACTCTAAAATCTCGTTGATTCAAATCCCTCAAATCCCTGTGCGATTCGTCAGGAACCCAGAGTTCGTAACAACTAGTCTCGTGCCTCCACGCAGCACGAAACAACCAGTCGTGCGTCTTCATATCGCGGTACTCATATATTTTCACCATTCTTTCAAAAAAATGTATATAATCGCAAAAACTTCAAAAACAAGGTATATTTTCAAATTTTACACATTAATTCATATAACGAGATTTAGTACATACAACTAAATTTTATTCACTACGTCAATATTACTCTCCTTCCATGGTGGCTAAGCACAAAGCAACATATGCTAATCTTTAACGGTTCTTAATATTATCATTGAACCATTAGAGATCAAACTCGAATGGTCATATTTGAGAACGGTTAAAAATGTGAATCCGATGTTTAATACTTCCTGATAAAAAAAACATTATTTATTATTTGTAGTTTAGGTTCCTTGTGGTAGAACTAACCTACCCTGGTTCAAGTCTAGACACGCCTACTCGCATTTATGGTTAATTATTCTTTCAGTGGTAGGCGATGTAGCCGTCGGTAGCGAGGCGTCCATATTGGTGACTTCGTCAATCTCAAGGTATGCCGACCAAGTTTTCTGGAGGTGCTCATAAGGTAGGATGTGCATGTGTACGTTCATAGAGGTGAGTATACGTGTTTTATGAGTGCCTGCGTTTGTACTATGTTTCTCAAAGAAAAAAGAAGAGAGAACAATTTACAGATTAGGCAGGATCAACCACTCTGCCTCTATTCTCCCACCCCACGGGCTTCCTATGTGACTTTTTTCTTCTCACATGAGGTCCTAGCTAGCTATGCCATCTCTTGCCCTATTTGCCTCTCATCTGCCCCCCCCCCTTTTCCACCTGTCAGATCTAGGCTCACAGCGGCCACTCATCCATTGCCATCCCCTTCGCTCCCTCCTTTGTTGTTGTGAGTAAGTCCAAGCCAGTTAGGCACTGTGAGACGCAGAGTCCACCGGCACCCTCTGGTTGCTTCCACATGGTTGGCGCGCTTTAAAATGCCAAGCGGATCAAGTGCTTCGAGCTTAGGTTATCGAATCCAACACAGTATGCCGATGCATGGTAACATCTTTGGATGGGCCACTATGATGGCGACAGGAAGATGAAGCCTTTTAGATCTGGTCACTCCAAGCTCAGTGCCTACTGAATTTGGCCACTCGAAGCTTAGTGCCTGCTGAATCTGGCCACTCCAAGCTCTTGGGTCATTGATCTGGCAAGGCAAGGCGAAATAATATCGATAGTGCATGGCTCAAGAAGTTCTATCTCAATGCCCTTGCCCTACGCTCCAACAAGGTGATATGACGAGATCAACTAGTTGGCCATGGCAAACAACAAGCAAAATCGCAAAATCTTATAAAGGCGTATTTTTTCTTGCATTTTTTTGAATTATCACAATATGTAATGTAATAATGCAATAGTTCATAGTTTTTGAGATCATTGATTCCATAGTAGTTTAAGAACAATTAGAGATTAGCCATCCCAATCGTTAACCCAATGTTTATAGTGGTTCAAGAAACTGTTAGACTATCATTTTCAATTATTAGTGTGTGGTCATATTTAACAGCTTTATTTTTAATTGGAATTTGATTGATTGAACAATTTGGTGATGGGTCATAGCATATGAATTTACATATATGTGGTGTTTGAATGTGTGCCGTGCTAGCTAAATCTGTATATGTATGCGTATGTGACTCTGTATATGCATGCAAAAAATATGACTGAATTATCCTTCTAATTGAAATCCTTCCATGACTTGATAATGGCAACTTGGCAATCTACCCTATAGTTCAACAAATACTTTCACTCATTCTTTCATTCTTTCATTCATCGCTCAACGGTCTAGATTATCCCTGTGAAATCCAATGCTCCAGATTCACCCTCCCCACAAACGAGTGCCCCCTTCCCACCCCAACCGCGCCCAAACCGTGATCGCTCCTCCCCAGCCCTAATCTCTCTCTTCTCCCTCTCACGCCGTCACGCGCCGCCAGCTATCTTCACCATCACACCGCCTCGCCACGATTGACGTCGCCGCTGACCCCAGCTTCCCGTAGAACGCTAAACCCTAACCTCTCCTCTCTCCCCGCCGCTCGAGGTCGCGCGCTCATCGCTGCTGCTCGTCACCCGGAGTGAGCGATGCGGTCACCGGAGATGAGCACAACCGCTGGGGCACCACGCTTTCTCGATCGGAGGCCAGCACGATGGAGGAGGTTGCGGGAGAGACGCTGTCACACGCTGTTGATCCGGTTCCTTGCTACTAGATCAGGATGCAGTCCCATTTTTTTCGTAATCTGCATGTAATCCTAGGGTTGGAGGAAAGGCACTGTGGAGAGGTGAAAGTGGAGACGGGGTGCCGGCATGCCGATGCAGACGAGGGGCCAAGAATAGGTGAATAGCTCTGTTCTATTGCTAGCTAGCTTTTTTTTTAATTACTATGACAAATTGATCAATCTCCCTGTTGGATTTTTATTAATTCTGATGGAGGAATGGCGTTTTGTTTTGATTAACTTTTGTGCCGTTTGATTTGCAGGATTACTTTGCTAGATTTAGCAATTGTATAATATTCAAAACAGAGGCTTTCACTATCACTAATTAGAGAGCAGAAACAGAAAGAATATAGAGTCAGAGTTGGTGTACCCTGCAAGTCTGATGATTGGATTGTGCATGAACCGCAATTTGCATTTCATGCTACTATGGCATTATGCTAAGTGAATCTTGCTGAATTACTTTATTCAGGCACAAGTAATTTGTGTCGGATAATCAATTCTAAGTAGTGTCTATGTGAATACCATTTGAACAAGGAGCTGTGTGGGTTTTTAGGATTCAATTCTAATGAAGCCAAAGAAAATATCTTGAAGATATTTTTCAGGTTATTGTTGTCTTTTGTGTCCTTCAGAGATAGGGATTTTGTACTAATTTAGTCACTATCTTGATATACCTGTGCTGCTGCTACCCATAATACTAAAGTCTGCCTAGATAATGATTTTCAAACTGCATTGCATGACCAGAAATATTATCAGTTAGGATTAGATTGTTCTCAAGGTTTTAATGATTGTCACATGGATAGTTCTTTCTACTACTTTCACTATGTAGGTGCATATCTATGGGAGTAATATATGTTCCATGTGTGTCTGCATCAACTAAAATACCTGATGGATGTACATGTTCATTAGGAAATTAGAGCTGCGACAAATAAATTTCATGATTTTTGTTCCCACCATCATAGTAAATTTCATGTGCTATAGAGGAATAGCAAGCTAACACACGTTCTTGAGATTCTTTAAACAATCAATTATTTACTTGTTGGTAGGCATCTACAGTTAGATTTGTGGTTTCCGTGATTATATTCCATCACCTGAAGTAATCAACAGATTTGAGCACTTTGTGTATGCAAGTAGTTGAAGAATTTCACCATGTTCTGCTTGATATGAACATTATGCTAGAGTTCCTGTAGATCCTGGCATCACAGTCCCTTAGGTTTGGTAAATTCAAATTTACCATGTTACTACAACATGTACGATAATTTACAGGAATATGAAATTATTTTTAGACCAAATATATTACAACAATATATATACCATTGTTTGGTTTTTCAGGTTTTGAGACATTTGAACTTATTTTGCTAAAATATGTATCTTTTAGCATATGATTGTTTAATTCACATTACTAAATATCGCCGTAGCGTTAGTACGGGCATATTACTACTAAGTAATGGTTAGCAATACTTTGCGACCATATAGATGAAACTTTCTAAAATAATTTATAAAACGGGCAAAAAAATTGAAATCTGAACGAAATATGGCTTATTTAATTCTTTCTGCAAAATTCATCCCAAGTTGCGGAAATAAAAACATTTTGGGGTACAAATAGAACAGAAATATCTGGAATATTTAAAAAATACAATTAAAATTGAACTAACATTGACTGAATTTAAACAACTTTTTCTATTTTGGGGGGAAAAGATATCCTAAGGGAGATCGGAAGACCTGATTTCATAAATTTCATTATGAAATTCTGAACCCTGGCCAACTAGGCGTCCATTCAAGCCAGTTGAGCAGCAGACATTGAACAGTAGAAGCACAAACTAAACTAGGTGACACACTGCTTTGTAATATATAAATATATTTGGCTATATACACAGCGTCTTCAATATTCTTAACAAATGGCAGAAGCATAATCCATAATATTGCTAACCATAATCCATAAACTGCTCCTTTTACATTTAGAAACTTTAAAAATACCCATAATTTGGATCACACAAACCTGACTGTTGAGAAATTGCTTTTTTGATAGAAAGCCCCACCCCGATATAGCATAGTTCCAATTTTCCCTAGTATGGGTAATTTGGAACCATGCCATTATAATTTTGTAAAGTTTGAGATATGCCATCGGTATCTCAATGATATGTAGGACCCACATGAGTCAATGACATGTGGGTCAGGATGGCATATCTTGCATGTATTTTTTAAGGGGCATCTTCTATGCATAAGAACTCTTTCGATACAGAACTAAAACACTATATACAATTGAGTTAAACACATCCTATTATGTACACTATACTGCTTTCTACAAAAAGCTAGCCTCTTTGGTCTCTGGTCAAGAAAAAAACAACCTATCACAAACTTACAGAAAATGGAATTCCTCTGCTTACTTGAGGAAGAAATAAAACTCGTCCTGTCTGGTTAGAAGGTGATTGTGGATGGAAATTCTGCTGCAGTTCTGCCTCGATATCTTGGACCTCACCAAAAGGGGTGGGAATGGTATGATGCTTTGTGGGGAACAGGAGGCGGCATCCCAAGTGTGGAAAGGAAGGAGTGGGAGATAGTACATCAGGAGAGAAAGAGATAGACCTGGTTGCAAATGCAAGTGATGGAAGTTCTATGAAGGCCGCTGAATATATTTTGCGTATATGAATGATCAAACAGCCTATATGGCCAGAATGAAAGATCGGGAAGTCTTTGTGTTTAAGATGACGTCGTAGATTATTTTGCTGGGAAACCCTCTGGTTTAACATATAAGAAGATAGATCAGATATGTTGTCAGTTGCTATGCATCCTCAGGAATAACAAAATTGCAATTTATCCAAAATGGGGAAAGAATATAAGCTTTCTTGTAGCTGAAACTAGAGAGGCATGGCAATGAAGTTAGTTCAAGCATGGGGTCACTTACAAATTCAAGTATCAGAAGTTTGTTCCTCGTCAACTGAAATCATGACACGGCATCCCCTCCCCCTAGCTGGCTCATGATCATCAACAGAGAGCTGAGGCATGCAAATCAAGCGAAGCTCTACCAAATCATCCAGCTGGTGAAGTACATTTGAGATGCTCCTCAGCATGGTACACTTGAGAGTCAAAACAGCGAGAAACGCCATGGATCCCTGCTGCAAATTCCACTCCTCCAAACCAATATCCATAAGTACCAAACTGCGTAATGCAAGGAATCCCTCGGAAGAACATGTTATTCTCTTTCCTGTGTATGATGAGTTAACAATTTCAAGCACTTCAAGACGTGGAAGTCTCTCCAGAATTGGCATTGGATCATCATTTAGTATATTGGGACAAGATATCTTGAGCTGCAATAGAAAGTTTGGGAATAGATTATGATGTGGAAGCACATCATTCAGAACGTGACGCTCTTTAAAACATCCAGACAATTCTAAACCATCAACTTTGGATTCTAAGGCATCTACCCTTATATCTAAATTGTATTCTTCATGTTCTTGGGTCTCTTTTTCCTTCACGCGTTTAGTAGAGGCTATCCCTAAGCACCAGGAAACATGTTGGCTCATTTTTTGCAGAGACCTGATTGTTCTTTTCCACGTCAGAGCATCACACTGCATTATGGAAAATACATAAAGAGTCTGCAAGCTTCGTTTCGTTCTAATCTCCTGGGCTTTCCAATGCAGTACTTGGTAGACATGAACATGCTTTAGTGCTGCGATGCTCCAGAGGGAACTTGGAAGTGCCTTGACAGTAGCTGTACTTGCTTCAAGAATTTGCAAGTTTCTAAGACCTTTCATATAAGAAGGGAACATGAAAACAGTACTACCTTCCAAACCCAGGTATCTCAGATGTACCAATTTGTTTATTTCTTCAGGCAAGGTACATGTCTTTAAGGAACTGCAAAAATGAAGCACCCTCAACAAATGCAACCCATTGAAAGAAAACAGACGTTTGCCATCAGGGTTGAAGGCCAGCACAGAACGGAGATTCAGAACTGATTTTCCCACTTCATTATCAAAGTAACCATGAAATGCTACACGGTAACACCTCTGTTCATCTGCATAATAAGTCTCCACATCTGTGCCGCTTGAGCAAACTTTCAAGAAACCTTCCTTCCTGGCTTGTCCAATTCCCCACTCACGCAACACATCATGAACTTTTATTTTCTTTATCCACCCAATGTTTTTACTTCTTTCTTCAATTTGGATCATACATCTCTGTGCCAGCTCTTCTACATATCTGTAGGCAACTTCTTCTTGTGTATATCCTCTTATATTTGGGACAAATCCCTCAGCAATCCACATCTTTTTAAGAACATGAACTGTGATAGGGTAGTCCTCGGGAAAGGATGCAGTATAAAGGAAGCAAGCTTTAAGGTTATTTGACATATTGTGATAACTTAGAGCTAATATACGTCCAACATCGCCCTCCTTTTTCATGATTTCCCAGTCTACACTAGCAACCATTTTCTCCCATGTATGAATATTGTGGTTTCGTGAAAGGAAGCAACCTAAAACCACTAGAGCAAGTGGCAAGCCATTGCATTTCTTGGAGAGTTTTTTCCCCACCACCTCAAGTTCTGTGAATTGCACATCATGTGGAAATGCCTTCTTCTGGAAAAGTTCCCAGCTCTTGTCTTCGTCTAATAGGTCAGGGGTATGAATTTGCACTTTAGTTTTAGGATGTTGTCCAACTTCCATATCACGGGTAGTCAGAATTATTCTACTTCCATTTCCTTTGTCAGGAAATACTGATTTGATCTTGTCCCAGGTATCTGTTGTCCAGATGTCATCCAAAACAATAAGGTAGCGCTCTTCCTTCAGAAAATCAAAAATAAGTTTTGAAACCTCTGTCTCACCATAGAAATTTAAATGCATGCTCTTTCGCTCGCTTATCTTCCCAGTGCCCCTTATCTGTCGCACGAGATCTCTTAATACTTCAAGGGCAGAATATTTTGGAGAAATGGATACCCAACCATATTTGTGAAAATAACCTTCAGTTATGACTGAACTATAAGCTAGTTTTGCAAGTGTGGACTTCCCAGCCCCTGCCTGACCAACAATCGATATAACAGTTAGATTCATGTTATTTTGGTCAAGCAAGTAACTCTTAATTTGTGCAATTTCATGATCGAATCCAACTATATCCATTCCTTGATCCAAACCCGGCGGCACAAGCCTTTGTGCATAGAAATCCTCATCCTCCCTAAAAATGGGCTGTGCTTCCGTTGAAGTGCTAGAATTAACTGCGTTGTATCTGTTGTACCGCTCAAAAATCTCACTAATTTCCTTTCTTATAACTTGTATGTTTTTGCCAACCTCACGGAGGTCAATGGAATCACCAAAGATGTGAGTATATTTTGATACAGAAGTCTTTCTCCTCCTAAAAATGAAATGAGCATTGTCAATAACCTCTTCCACCCGGTATGCCACGTCTTGAATATTACTGGCCAGATTTTTCATCATGCTGTTTCCTTCCAAACATTTGGCATCCACAACATTTAAGAAGCATTGCATCTGGCTCAGTTCTGCTTTCATGGATGATACTTGTCGAGGAACATCACTTAAAAAGGTAGCTTCTTGGATGACAAGGTCACCAAGCCTCTGCAAAACTGAGGAAACTACTGATGCTGTCATGCTTAGTTAGCTGAATGAATCCACCATGAATTTAGATGGAGAAAGTTGCATAGCCAGTAAATATCATCCTGTTCTGTCCTTATTGTTTAATAGTACTTGATGAGATCCCCTTATGTTATTGACATCCATTAATGAGAGGGCAATAGATATCTTCCCTAGGGCAAAGTCAAATAACAATCTCAGTTAAATCTATGGAGAGAATTTTAGAAAGAAGTTGCTGCTCTGCTCAATGGAGATAAATAACTTTCCAGCAGAATTTTTTTTTTCTTCGAATGTGGGCATGGAAAATCATGAAGGAGACAAACAGCGTGGCGAAGAGTGGTGGTACAAAGTAAGAGAAAAAGCTTACGGAATACAGATATGGTCAAGCAGAAAAGGAACACAGAAAATATCCCCTTCAGTATTATTGACGAAATTATACTATACACCCTTCATCAATAGTTGAATCTTGCTGGATTACTTCTTTTCTCGTTCAGACCAGGTCGTTAACAACCATTATTACCCTCTAGATTCAAGAAAATTTAGAGCATAATCCTACCAAGAAAATAGTTGCTGAAACTTAAACATCGAAACAGCACATCATTGGTAGAGTGAAGAAACTGAATCTTTAAAATAGAGAGCAGAAATTACCATATCCATGGTTGAGCGAGAGGGGATTGCGGCTGGGGGAAGAGACATTGGACCGATTTGGAGAGAGGAACTGAAAAGCCCCAAATTGACTTCGTTCTGGAGCTGGGCTACAGTCGTCGACTTTCAAGCATCAGTACAGGAAGGATAAAAAGTGCCGAACATGGAGACAGATAAGCAGTAGTGGTGGGGCTACGAACATATTCCTTTTCCTTCTGGACGCTACCACTCATATGTTCCAAAATTACAAATTTGTCCTTTGTATTTGTTGCAATTTTCATGTAAGAAATCCAACGAGGCTCTGTTTTTTTTTATTGGCCTTGTTTGGATCCTCAGAGCTATTAAATAGCCCTGTAGAATCTTACTATTTAGGAGTATTAAACGTAGATTACCGACAAAACCGATTCCATAACCCTAGGCTATTTTGCAAGACAAATCTAATGATGTATATTAATCCATGATTAGCGACTGATTACTGTAGCATCACTGTAGCAAATCATGGATTAATATACCTCGTTAGATTCGTCTCGTAAAATAGCCTATGGGTTTTGTCATTAATCTACGTTTAATACTTCTAAATAGCAAGATTCCGGAGGGCTATTTAATAGCCCTCCGGATCCAAACAGAGCCATTGATCATGTCGACGGAACTCTAACTTCTCAATTTAACTTACTTTACACTTTCTATCACTTTCTATTTTCTTGGTGTCCTAAGAAAACCCTACATCTTTCTGGGTATATCATAATACAAGTGGATTTTCTTTTTCCTTTTTTGGCAACGCTACCCCTGTAAACTCAGCATAGCCATGCTGCATTTGTGCATGTTGGTATATACACCATCATCCATGTCAGAGTACTGTATTGCAAAACACATCTATTATCTATCTATTATAATACTACAAGTCCATTAAATTTCCTACAAACACTTCTAAGCTGCCACTTGGCGCTCTAATAAATTAGAGAAATCAAAGAAATTCTAAGGAAAAAGCATATATTCTAACACTTTGCATGCTACCAACAATCGTGAAATATTATAGAACAATTTAATATGTTGATTATGCTACCATACATTTATTCCATCCTAAAATATAAACATATTTAGAAAAGTGCTAAGTCAAACATTTTAACTTTAATTATTTATAGTGAAAATAAATAAAAGATCAATCATATAAAAATGATATTAAATACAATGTCACTCTTCTATCTAGAACAATTTATTTTTTATAAATATAAATATTATTAGTCAAAGTAGTATCCTAAAGACCGTTCCAAAATAAAACAAACGTATATTTTTAGGACAGAATGTGGAGTGATCTATAAACATACGTATCTAACAAATAGATTTAAAAATAAGCAAAGACGCTAAAGAATAATTTTGAAAAAGTGTAATACATTCGGTTTTTAATGGATGGCGTCGTTGAATTTTGTACGCACATTTGACCATTTAGTTATATTTAAAAGGTAATAATAATTATTTATTTTGTTTTTTTAGAATAATTATTTATTTTGTCGTGGCTTAGTTTATCATTAAAAAACATGCCTGCACGAATGCGCAGGCTACTTTCTTGATTATAATGGGGAAACAAGTTAACTAATCCAACCCACCGACTAGGATCCACCAAGCACTACAGACAACTTACGTTAAGTATGGATTGATGATTTGGCAAGGCCCCTTTTTTTTTTTGCTCTGGTTCATAAAAGCTGAGAGTTTGAATTTGAACCTTAGAAAATTGTGACTTAGCAAATTTATCTTTCTGTCATTGGCTCCCTACTTAATCATCTCTCAGTTTTGACTTAAAATTACTGTTGCTGTTGCAATTTGTTTTCAGTATGACGTAAATATTATGATTCATTTTGAAAATGATGAGAATAGCATGAGTTTGTTTGTGCTAGAAAACTTTTCGTCTATATCAAATTTCTCTTGTTTTCGTTGCCTTATACTACGTATGCCCTGGCAATCTGGTATCATGCATTGATCTACCAAGCCAGCAGCCTGCCAGTGCCAGGTTCGTATGAGGACCCTAAGTAAAGCCCTATGCCCCAATGGGTGTTTTGAAAAAGAACACTATTGTTTTGTTCGTTGGTGCATTTGATCTATTTCGTTTCGCTGATCCAATGCTTTGCCAAATATTACCTTGACATTCTTAACTTGTTATGGAAACATTTATGACAACTCAGAAACTTCTTACAATTTCAAACATTACGATCCTTTGTACTCAACTAATTTAACTTTTGCATGCTTTCAGTAGGTCGTGTTAAGAACTGTAAGAAGCTCTTGTAAGAATCTGATATCATTTTGTTAATGAAATGGGAGAGGAATCCCTCTCTTTCTCGAAAAAAAAATAAATTTTTCACTAGCAGATTTTCGCGATAATAGTTATACATTAGTTTTGACGGAATTAGCAACATGTTGGCGAAGACGATCTATGATTCTCGAATACTGTGATGAAGTCCCTAGTTAAACGGATAGGTGTATTATTTTGTCTTGCAAAGCTGTAAGAAGTTATCATCACTTTCTACAAAGTCTATTTGTATTTTCTTGTGTGTCAGGCGCAAAATAAATTTACTAGTTCTCTCAACGATTATCCCAGTATTGCCTCTCTAGCATGGTATTGTTGTAGCATTACCTATGAAAAATGTAGTACAGCATCAGTAGGGTCATTGTTCACCGGCGTTAGAAAGTTACCAATTCAGCGCCTATTGGATTGAATTCTGGGCTTCTAACTTGGCTACAATGGATCGATTTTCTATGCACCAATAGTGCCAATTCAGAACCATGGGTTATGTTTATACCTGGCCAAAATGTTGTTGGCGTTCTTCTAAAGTATGAAAGGTATAATCCCCAACAGAGCTTATATATATATGTCATGACAGATGGTGCTCTGCAATGGGTAATCATTGGATAGACCATTTGTCATCCAATGATCCAAACACCGATGTTCGGTGGGGGTGAGGATCGTCTACCATAACGTCACTACCATCATAGTAACTAGTATGCGGGTTCCAACTTCCTATTGCTCCACACGTCAGTGCCTGTAATGGTAGTGCTATTATAGCAGAGGATGTGAACCCAGTGCAAAGATATTATTAAAGTTTAATTTTGTTATCTCGTCCTTCTTTAGCATCGCAGGAAATGTGGCTACTTGAAGAAATTTGTCTTCGAAGAAATAATTGGGCTGTTTGGTTCTGAAATTCTGAACCACTCATGGTATGAAGAATCAAGAAAATTCACATGATATTCCTGGTTTTCTTGTAGGATGTGTAGATAGATGTAGATACTATCTACCTTCAACTTGTGAATTTATTGTTGTTTTCATCAAACACATAGGTGATTTTTGTTTGCTAGAGCACAAACAAGACTAATATTTTATTGAACAAATAGAACTCCCTCTAGTCACAAATATGTCCTTTTATTTTATTTTTTTTGAACTTTTGAAACTTTGACTATGACAATGTTATAATTTTTTTTATTTGGATTGAGGTAAAAAAAACAGACATCACAAAGAGAAAACAACTAAACTTTTGTTGAAAATTTCTATGTTCTTTCTCAAACACGAAGCATCATTTGTGGCTTATAAAATCCACTTACAAGATTTATTTGAGAGTTCTGTTTGCAGCACTGTTGCACTTTCCTCCCCTTCCGCTCTCAAACCTTATCTGCACCAGGTAAAACCGTAGCCAAAACCATCTCCATTTTCACCAGGCGTCCAGTGGATCTCTCAAAATCCACCATGGGTGAAGCAGCCATGGACAAGATCCCACATAATGGGGTACTCAGTACTCCCAAGTGCTTGAGTGTCGACTGGTAGCTTAAGACTGATCCAGCTGGTAGCATGTGGTCAATCTGACCAGGAGCCTCATGGTCAGACCTGAGGAGGCTGACTCTAAATCTAACTACTCGCTCCATTTGAGGTTATAAGATGTTTTAACTACTATTTAAGTTTGACTAAGTTTATATACAAATATAATAATATTTATATTATCAAATTAGTTTCATTAAATCAATAATTAAATATATTTTCATAATAAATTTATTTTAGGTCAAAAATATTATTATTTTTTCTTCAATTTAGTCAAACTTGAAGCAGTTTAACTTTGACCAAAGTCAAAACATCTTATAACCTGAAACAGAGGTAGTATTTATCAACCTGCATTGAGTAGCAAAAGAGAAGAACTAAGTATAGCTGATTAGTTTGTAATTAACTAACTCCTAACGAACTAATTATGTCATCATGCCACCTTTTTTATAGCAGGACAAGCCCTCCAATTCATTAACGAAGTAATGCATTCAAAAGGTCCTGAGTAAAACAAAAACTAAACAGACAAATTGTTCTGCTAGAACCATGCATCAACATCAGTTCAGTACGCTAGCTACATATACTTCGATAAGAGCATGGAACAAATGCAATTAACACACACTTCTATATTGATCCAACTAAAATTTGTGTGCTTCCAAGACCTTCAAGACCGCCTGTAACCATTCCTGCACACATGATTAACCACCACCATCCACGCTGTCAAGTGTCAAAAGCTTCTTGTTCTCCTTTCTTCAAAATAGACCATAAACCTAACCAGTAAGGCAATAACAGACATTTAATATCACCTTGCAGATGGACTGATAACTTAATTATTTCAGAAACACAAACAGATCTATACCGTCCCCGCAAAAAAAAAAAAAAAAAAGATCTATACCGAATCTTCAACAGTGCAGAAAATTGCTGAAGAACCAGTTCAAACTAGATCATTCCAACAAGGCTGTGTTTAGTTCAGCGCAAAGTTTGGATTTTGATTGAAATTGGAGATGATGTGACTGAAAAGTTGTGTGTGTATAACAGGTTGATGTGATGGAAAATGACTGAAGTTTGGATCCAAACTTTGGATCTAAACACAGCCCAAGTGAGATGCTATTCCAGGGATAATGGGTAAGTTAAAAGGCCATGTCACTATGTTAGAGTGCTACATAGCGAACAATTGCTTCATTACTACCACAAAATTGAACAATAACAGCCTTGTATGTGTTGTCCAAACTGAGAAACTACCAGTCATGCAAGTATGCAACTACCAAAAAAAATTCATCTCCCAACAGATTTCCTATCCCTACTGAAGATGAAGTCTGATGTCTGAGAGTTCAAACTAACAGTCATGCAACAATTGTTCTCCATTCTGATACCAAGAATTTTATAAAA